GTCTGGGGATCTCGAGCTTTCGTCCGCGACTTGTCTGCGGACAAGCTGTCCTTCCGTGTTGTTCCCTGCGTCTTCCTTGGCTTCCCCCCTGACGCGCCTGGTTGGCAGTTTTACCACACCACCTCGCGCCGTGTTCTGTCCTTTCAGGACGTCAGGTTTGGCGAGTCGGTTCCTTACTACCGTCTCTTCCCCTACCGCACTGCCCACCTCCCCCCCCCGCCGCTCTTCCTCACACCAAGTCCTCCCCCGGTAGACCCCCTCCCCCCTCAGGGTCTTGCCCCCTCAGGTGTGTCCCAGGTAGGCGCAGTCGAGCCTGTCGAGGTAGCCGTTGACTCTAGAGCTGCTAGGGGTGCTGAGCCTGCCGGTGCCGGGTCTGGGGGTGCTGAGCCTGAGCGTGCGGAGCCTGGGGGTGCTGAGTCTGGGGGTGGAGAGCCTGAGGGTGCTGAGCCTGCGCGTGTGGAGTCTGGAGGTGCTGCGCCTGGAGGTCCTTCGGGTGCTTCGTCCCGGCGGGAGCCACTCTCTCCACAGTAGCTGCGCGAGTGGTATGCTCGCAGCTGGAGCCGTGCTGCTGGAGTTGGTGGTGATACGGGCGCTGGAGGTTCTTCGGCTGCTGGAGCTGCTGGGGGTTCTGGAGCCACTGGTCCCGGAGGTGCTCGTTCTGGATGTACTGGAGCTGCTGGGGTTAGAGCTGCTGGAGGTGCTGGAGCTGTCGGTACTTCTGGACCCGGTACTGCTGGAGGTGGTGGCACTGGCGCTGCTGGAGCTGCTGGAGCTGGAGGTGCTGGAGCTGGAAGTGCTGCTGGAGCCGGTGCTCCTGGGGGTGGTGGAGTTGGCGCTTCTGGTGCTGCTGTAGGTGCTGCTGGAGCTGGTGGTGCTGCTGGAGTTGGAGGTGCTGCCACTGGGGGTGTTGGTGCTGTCCCTGCTGGTTCTGGAGGAGCTGCGTGGCCGCAGCCGTACTATGTTCCGCTCATTCAGCAGGTTCTTGGTCTTCCGCCTTCTACTGGTCCTGCTCCTTCCTTAGAGTGTCCACCGCCGGTCCAGTCACAGTCACAGTTACAGCCCGCCTCCCCACTGCCTGCTCCTTCTCCTTACACTGGTCCGGCCGGAGGTCTTACTGAGCGTCGTGAGCGTGAGTCTCGTGCTGCGTCGCCTGTTCGTGCTGCTCGCACTGGTCGTTGTGGTCCGCGTCAGCGTCCTCCTCCTGTCCCTGGCACGCACCAGATGGCTCTGCGTCCGTCCACTGCTCCGCAGCGTGTCCCTCTGCCGTCTCCTCCTGCGTCCTCTCTTCCTGCCCTTGCTGACCTGGAGTCTGACTCCCTTCGTGCTGTTAGTCCTACTGTCACGCGTCTCCTGGCCACTGTTGTCACTGACCCTTCCTTTGAGTCCACTGCTGCGTCTGCCTTAGTTGCTGAGCTTGTCGACTTTGCTGCTCACTGTCGTCTAGGTTACGCCGCCAGTCTTGTTGCTGAGTTTGAGACTGTCTGTCCTCCGTCCATCGGGGGTGAGTGTGCTCTTGGCACGGACGTCCTTGAGGACAGGCAGGAGGACTTTGAGTGCTTTGCAGCCGCTGTACCTCATCTCGTGTCCATGTTGATTGCACCTGAGGGAGACCCGGATGCACCAGACATCCCGACCCCGCGCTCTTACGCAGAGGCGATAGAGGGTCCCTACTCCTCTCAGTGGCAGTCAGCCATGGACGCAGAGATGGCATCCTGGAAGTCCACAGGCACCTACGTCGACGAGGTTCCCCCTCCTGGGGCGAACATCGTCAGTGGCATGTGGATTTTCAGGGTGAAGCGGCCGCCGGGTTCTCCGCCTGTCTTCAAGGCGCGTTACGTTGCTCGAGGCTTCAGTCAGCGACAGGGAGTTGACTTCTTCCAGACCTTCTCCCCTACCCCGAAGATGACCATTCTTCGAGTTCTGCTGCACGTCGCTGCTCAGCGTGACTACGAGCTTCACTCTCTTGACTTCAGAACTGCTTTCCTACGTCGACGACTTGGTTTTTGCCACTGCTGACATTGAGGGACTCGCCCACGTGAAGTCGGAGCTGCAGAAGAGACACACGTGCACAGACCTGGGTGAACTGCGCAGCTATCTTGGCTTGCAGATCACCCGGGACAGAGCACGGCGCACCATTACCTTGACTCAGTCACACATGGTGCAGCAGGTCCTTCAGCGCTTTGACTTCACGTACTCCTCGCCTCAGGCCACTCCTCTGTCTACTCGCAACTCGCTCTCAGCTCTGCCTTCGGATGAGTCCGTAGAGCCGAGTGGCCCGTACCTAGAGCTTGTTGGCTGCCTCATGTACCTGATGACATGCACTCGACCTGACTTGGCATACCCTCTTAGCATCTTGGCTCACTATGTTGCTCCTGGGAGACACCGACCAGAGCACATGGCTGCAGCTAAGAGGGTGTTGCGCTACCTGTGCAGTACGTCGGGCATGGGGCTCGTGCTTGGAGGACGGGCTCGAGTTGTCCTCACTGGTCACGCAGACGCTTCTTCGGTTGACGACTTGGCTACGTAGCGGTCGTCACAGGGTTACACCTTCAGCCTTGGTTCCGGCTCTGTCTCGTGGCGGTCTACCCGCTCGTCCTCTGTTCTCAGCTTGAGTTGTGAGGCTGAGATCTACGCAGGGGCCGTGGTTTACAGAAGTTACGCTGGCTCACCTACCTGCTGACCGACTTGGGAGAGGCGTCTCGTTCTCCTCTAGTTCTGTACGTCGACAACAAGGCCATGCTGGCCTTGTGTCAGGAGCACAGACTGGAGCACAGAACGAAGCACATTGCTCTGGGCTACTTCCTTGCTCGAGAGTTGCAGCAGCGTGGTCAGCTTCGTCTTGCTTACGCGGCCTCTCGGGCCAACACTGCTGATATCTTCACCGTGGCACTTCAGCCTTGTGATCATCAGCGTTTCTGTACTATGCTAGGTCTTGTGCCTGCAGGTCCTCACTTACTCACCTCTTGACTTTGCTTGTACTATGATCTATATATACCTGCACCTGCATGCTTGCCCTTGTTAGGTTGAGATCATTGTCTTGCTTGTTCACCTTGATTTATAATCCTGCATGTGAACTGGCCTTGTGGTCTTGAACTTGTGATCGGAATGTGTGGTGACGTTGTGATCCACCCTGAGCTTGACCTTGTCATGTTCTCTTGTTTGTCCCCCACTTTGCCTATGGGGGTGTGTCAGAACCATATTGTAGGCTGTAGTGGGGTTGACAATATGGGGTACAACACTTTTAGGTTTGCACATTTGTACCCACCTGTTTCCTAGTTCATTCATTACTCGTTCTATCTTTCACATATTTCTTATCGCCTGACCGTACAGTTTTGAAATGTGACTTGCCTTTTTCGAGACTCAAATGCTACGCATTGTTTGGTTTTGGGATTTTTTTTTTGCCGACTTTTTGTGTGTCAAGACTCAAATATACCAGCTCGACTTCATCCTCCTTTCCTCCCTCCCTCCTCCCCTCCCTCCCTCCCTCCCTCCCTCCCTCCCTCCCTCCCTCCCTCCCTCCCTCCCCTCTCCCTCCCTCATTTCTGGTTTGAGGACTCGAGAATCTTTCATTTCTCTGCTAGTTAGCTAGGCATCATGTTTTTCGATCAGTCCCTCTGCCAGATCCGTTACTGCTCGTAGGACGTGTCTGTTGGGTGCAAAATGTATTTTGCATGTCAACCGGTCTCCTATTCGTCGAGCAAGGTGAAATTTGAAGACATCTGTTTTGAGGTAATTTGTGTCATGTGGAATGTGGATTTGTGTGTATTTTGTTTTGGAGTTTACGGTTTGTGAATCGCCTTAGCGGTTCATGAGTTATCGGCGTTTTAGTGTGAGGTTGCATTCATGAGTTTTCATGATTGTTCGTGTGTGTTTCGTGTGTTCGTGGCGTTTCATGAATGTGTGTGAAGTTCCGAGGGTACATCAGTGTTCATGGACCTTCGCGTCCTGTTCATGAGAGTTCGCGTGCTGTTCGTGTTCGCTCATGAGCGTTCATGTACGATCATGTTCGTTCATGACTGTTCATGTTTGTTCAGGATTGTATATGTTTTCTTCACGAGTTTCCGTGTACCTTTCATGGGTGTTCATGGTGAGTTTCTGGTGTGCTGGGTGTGGGGCTCGAGATTTTGACCAGCCCCTTTGACTAAGTCTTGCGCTGGTCAAGGTTCGAGGCCATGAGCCCGAGCCTTGTTGCGCAATCATGGGAGCAAGGGCCGAAGGGTGCCAGTCGAGGCACACGCGCGACTGTGGCAGTGAGGTGGCGCGAGGGACAGGTCAAGCGCGCGTGGGTCTACAATTGAATTGTGGGACCCTCGAGCGTTTTGTCTCCATTCTCCGAGAAGAAAATTTTGCCAGGGTGTTTCGTGAAGCGCGCGATTCACTTTCGAAGCTGGTACAAATTGTGCGAGATCATTAAGAGTAGCGTAAATCATTATTGAAACGGTAATACGTAAGCTGTTGATAATCTGGAATTTGTTACCTTGTTATGATTGCTACAGTGTTGTGCAAACATTTATATACACAGTTAAATCCACACAATATACAAAGTAACAAAACCGGGTTACTATCGTAATGCTGCTAACAGAATGTCGGTCACATGTTACCCCGTTCAATTCTCTAGTGTAACCAGTGCTGTCGAAATGTCGCTATATTGGCCGAATCAATACTGTTTTTATCGGTAATATACGGCAGCGTCATTGGTTTGCAACATGATAGCTCTCGAGTGGATTCAGATTGTTTGACGTGTCCGCCCGGTTGCTAAGCTCCAATCCAAGTTTCTGCGCGGCATAGTCTCTCCTACCTGCCAGCACGACTTCTCAATCTGAGAAACCACAGTAACAGGCCTCAGCTCAGGTAAGGCCGGTCCTATCATATCAATCATGTTGACCCATGCACATTTGTCATTTTCCTCCATTCGCATGGGTCTTCCTCCTCTCTACCATGTGTTTCTCTCATGTACATCGTTGGTTGCTTCAGCTAATTTGGTCTTCATCAAAGTACCTATGCCTCCTCATTGTCGCCATTCCATGTTTCCAGAGCGTAGCCAAAAAAACAGAAAGAGCAGTCAACGGTCGTTTAGTCATCAAGCTGAACGTGTACCGTGATTGGCTGTTTTCCTTGAGCATGGATGTGTAAATGCTGAGGGAAAACTGAACACCAATTTTCACGTATATGTGTGACTGGATACTGTGTTGAGTCTCGTCATCATCAGATATCCCAATCCTTGCCATCGTCTCTTGAATTTCCCCCATTACATTGCCTCCACGCAGACTTTTTCTGAAACTGTTGTTTTTTGGAAAAGTATCACTTCCCTAGGGCTGTAGCATCTCACACTTCGTCTATCAAACTCCTCCCTCAGGTAAAGCTCGCAATTCAATCCAATGTTCTGGTTTCATTGCTTAACTTCAATAGATAAGGCAAATGTTTACTTGTTTGCTTGTTGTCATGTCTGCTTGGATGTGTGTCAACCCCTCCTGTCCTTCTTTCCATTCGTCCGTCCCTCCTGTTTACCTCCGTGCATTCACCTCCACCCGATTCTGACATTCCACAGTGCCACCCGCTTTGGGCATTCCGCTCCTCAGTAGGGAGGGCATTACTCAAGCTGCAGTGATGGCTTTAGGGGAGGAGAGTGCAATAGCTAAAGCAGTGAAAGGACTGTTCGGATTGGTGAGAGGGGAGCTGGCAGCTGTGAAGGGGGAACTGGTGGCAGTTAGGGAGGAGGTGGCACAACAAAATGAGCGAGTGTTGATGCTGGAGGAGAGGAATCAGGTTCTGGAGAATGAGGTGGATGTGTTGAGGCGTGCACTGGGTGTTGTGGCCGAGAGGAGTGAGTTGGCAGCAATGAAGGGGGGGTTGGCAGTAGCGAAAGGAGAGTTGGGTGAGCACAAGCAGTCAAAGACATTGCAGCTGCAGGAGGCTGAGAGGAGACGAGTGGCGGAGATGAGGGAGATGAGAGGGCAGGTGGAGGAGAGGGAGAGGGAGGTGAGTGTAGTGAAGATGAAGCTGAGTGAATACACAGACGTTATTGCAGAGCAGTTGCATGTGGCTGAGAGAAGAAGGGAAAAGGATTTGAGAGAGCTGAGGGAGGAGTTTAGGAAGGGAGAGGATGAAATGAGGGCAGATTTGTCAAGGGAGAGGGAGGAGAGGAGGGAGGTGCAGGAGTTGAATTGGCCACGTGTCATGGAGGACTTGGCAGCCTGCAAGGCTTGGGTGAATGTTGAGCTCGAAATTATCCAGAGTAAAGGCCCTCAGAAGATTGCATGGGAGGTGAGTGCTGCTGTGACTGTTATTAATGCATGAATCGTTTTGTATTGTAACAATGCATTTATTGGGCACGATCTGTAAGGAGTGGCAGCTTATAAATTACGCGAACTTGTATTTTGATTAAATGGGTTTCATCGCAGATGAGTGCTGAGTTTATCAGTTTCACATGATACGGTATGCATTGTTTGGCAGGCCATGCATTGTTTTTATATTCCTGGGCTGCCTGAGAAAAGGTTCAAAACTTCATAGCTGCGTGTAGCATCCTGCGCCTGGATGATCGTGTCCGGCCACTGAATGCTTTTTTGGCCGCGCATCTATTCAATCTTGGGCTGTTACATGCATGGCCATTCCTTTCCTTGTTATTCATCCCCTCTTCATCCATCACCTCCAGCGAATCAAGGCAACATCACGAGGAGCCAAGCTGAGCCTGACGGATCTCCACGGCCTCTCAGACACTATGCTCGCCCATGTGTCCACAATGACCCATCTGAAGAGCATTGACTTGGACTCTAGCTCAGGTTTCAGTGCAGAGGGCATCAAGCACCTCTACAGGCTGCCACTGCTAGAGACGCCAGATCTCAATAACATAGACCTCTGTGACAGTGCCTTGGAAGGCATTGGGTCCATTGTTGGGCTCAAGTGCCTCTATCTCCATCGCACCAAGGTGACAGACGCGGGTCTGCTGCACTATGCACACTTTTCCTCTCTAAAACATCTGAGGCTCTCTGACTGCAAGGGTGTGACAAATGCTAACATGGTGCATGTGGGGCGGCTGATAGGGATAGAGAAACTTTGGCTGCGTGGCATAGCAGTCACGGATGATGGGCTGCAGAAGCTGACTGCCCTGACCAAGCTGAGAACTCTCCAGCTGCCAAATGGGAATATGGTCAACGACGAGGATGTGCGCAAGTGGATATGCAGATAGGGTGGGAGAGAGTGTTGGGGGGGGAGGGGAAAGGGGAGTGGAGGGATGACAACATTAGGGCAGAGTTGAGAGTGACTGCTTGGAGGATATTGGAAGAGGCATGGAGGCAAGGGTTGTGGAGAATGAGGGGAGCACATTAAGGAGTGTGTAAGTTGGTTTAGAAAGGCGTTCTCTTTGTACAGCTAGACCAGCCTATGATTGGTTTGTGTATAAACAGGAGCAGTAGGGATGTATGCATGCATATTGTGCCTGGAAAGGGGCATTAACGTGATGGCAGCTCCTTGCTCAAAGGTTGTTGGCTGGGCTGGGTGGCCTGCTGCTGCACTGCAGCACTCTACCGTACCATGGTGGATTGACTCGGATTGGCTGTGGCTACCATGTAAAGATTGAAGGGCGTGTGGAGGTGAGGCAAAGGGAGTGGAGCACAGAGGGTGGCTGGGCAAGGCCTTCCCTGCACTGTAAACAGCCCAACGTGTGTGAACCTGTGCCTTGTCACACTCAAATATCTTTTGAGAGCAGCTCAAGGAAGATAGAACAGTTTCATGCAGAGGGGATGCCATGCCTGCCTGCCTGGCTGCCTTTGGCTCCGATTTATTCAATATTTGAAAATACTCTTATGTGATTGGTACCTGATTATTGAAACAAATTACTTATCACCTAAAATATCAAAGCAATGGTGACAAGATCATCTGATGTTACCTATGTATATGTGGTACAGTATAGGTACGGATATATCCGTCACACCATAAAGCTGGCAAGCTGGATCTGAAGACTTGCACCTTGTGAACATCTCGTCTCAGTGTGATTGATTACAGCTTGCCCTCCTGGCCTCTGAGGTCGTGTCGTGTGTAACCACAACTCACCACTAGAGCATCCTAGCTGCTAAAGGAAGAGGCAATTGCAGCAGTGCCCCCTCACTGTACCCCCACACTCCACTAGTGAGTACATGCTTCTATGTGGCACCCTCATTGTGTCCCTCTGAGCTCAAGAAGATTTTACTGGAAGTGTGTGCTGGGAAGGAGGATATGGCACGTGAATGAGGCTATGCGATCATCGTTCAAAGAGGCATAGGAGCACAAAGCCCCATTCTCATTTGCAGAGCCGCTCCGGCATGTCGTATCCACACAAGACTTCTGCACAGAAATAATTTCAAAAAAGCTCTCTTTACCCTAATCCTGACTCACAGACTCACAGGCTTGGTTAGTTGGGGGCTAGGACAAATGGGGCTAGGTCAGTTGGGGGCTAGGTCAGTTGGGGGCTAGGTCAGTTGGGGTTGGGGGTTTTAGTTGGGGGCTAGGTTAGTTGGGGGCTAAGACACTCAGGGCTAAGACTCTCAGAGGCTCAGACACTCAGATGCTAGGTCACTCACAGGCTAGGTCACTCACAGGCTAGGTCACTTACAGGCTAGGTCAAGCACAAGGTTGGCTTGACACAAGTAAGATTGGTCCTAGGCTACAATAGCCATAGGTGGGTCACTTATAGCTAGGACAGACACAAGCATGGTTAGTCATAGGCTGGGTCACTCACAACAGCCGATCAGTCACAGGCCAGGTCAACCGCACGCAAGGTTAAATACGAGCAGCGAGTAGAGTTTTGACCGACTCGGCCGACTCAGAGGGTCACTTGACTCGACCCTCAACTTCTTGTCACGCTGAGTCAAGTCGGCCCGGCCTAATGGGCAATGCATCGCCCGACCCGGCTGGACATTTGTCGAATCGGCACTCGCCTGGTTGGTGATCGAAACAGCACACCTGACTAGTCTCTACTCGACTAGCTTGTCTCCGGCATTTACCCGTGTCAAGCAACATGTCGTTCAGCAACTGAATCTCTCATTTTCGTGGTCCAATCTCGGCCTGATCTGGTTATTAGTCGTTCCTTGTCGGCCTTGTCATTCATATTTGTCCCAGCCCTTATCTCGGCCTTGTCGTTCCTACTTCGACTCGCGAGTTAACTCGGATCGGTCAGAGCCGAGTCGACTCAGAGTAGACTCGAGTCGCCCTTGTGAAAATCTTAGGCGAGAGATGATTTCACTATAGAAAGTTGAGTACAAATAGGGTAGGAAAGGTGGGTACACCACCAAGCAGGAAGTTAGGATAACTACACTAAGGCTAGAACTACATGCAGTTATAATATAATTCTGACATCCCCCCGTAACTGCATGCAGGAATAGCTAAGTGAAAGACACAACCTGCAGGGGTACACCACAGACAGAGAAAACAGCAGGCAAGGCAGCAGAACAGGTTCGGCAGCAAAGGGGCAGGCGATAGCAAGGCACTTCTGCCACCCCCTTACTCTCCTCCCCCCCGACCACAGGAGGGGCAGCAGGGAGAGAGAGGAGGCGGGCTGGCTCTGGCTGGTCACCTGCTCCATCCCCTCACCCTCCCCCTCCCCCTCCCCCCCCACACTGCTGCAGGAGCAGCAGAGGGGGGAAGAGAGGAGAGGTGGCGGGACAGCTGCTGGTTGGCCTCACACCCGCCACCCCAGTGCCACTCCCCCGGCTCCCCCACGCCCTCACACCCTCCCCCCCAGCGGCAACTGCAGCAGTGGGAACAAAAGGAGGAGGAGGGGAAGGGAAGCACACCCCCCATCACCCCCACACCCGCCACCCCCATACCCTCCCCCCCACGGCTGCAAAGAGACGAAGGAGGAGGGGGGGGGGGCGGGGAGAAAGCCGTAGAGCGGCTACAGAGGGTCGGCGCGGGTAGGGCAGGGGCGGCTGCAACGAGTGCACACGCGGGGTGAGGCAGAGGCGGCTGCACCGAGTGCAGGAGCGGGGGCGGCTGCTCCAAGGGCAGGCGCTGGGTGGTGCAGGGGCGGCTGCACCGAGTGCAGGCGCGGGTGAGGCAGGGGCACCGTCGCGGGCGCCAGGGGCGGGTCCGCGGCAGCTCAAAACACCGCCGCGGGCGCCAGGGGCGGGTCCACGGCGGCTCAGGGCACCACCGCGGGCGCCAGGGGCGGGTCCGCGGCGGCTCAGGGCACCGCCGCGGGCGCCAGGGCGCCAAAGCAGGCGGCAGAAGGGGCGACGCACGCGGCCCCCTCAGGTCGCCTCGACAGGCGACGGGAAAAGAGGGGGGGGCGGTGCACGTGCCCCCGGTGCGCCGCGACAGGCGACGGAGCATGGCCGGGGCGGGGCCGGGGCAGGGTCGAGGCAGGGCCGAAAGGGGCAGCGACGGGGCCGCAAGGGGCGGCGACGGGGCCGCTTGAGGCGGCGACGGGGCCGAAAGGGGCGGCGACGGGGCCGCGAAGGGGCCGCGAGGGGCCTGAAAGGTCGGCGACGGGGCCGGTAGGGGCGGCGACGGGGCCGCAAAAGGCGGCGACGGGGCCGCTGAAGGCGACGACGGGGCCGATAGGGGCGGCGACGGGCCGGTAGGGGCGGCGACAGGGCCGCGAAGGGGGGCCGCGAGGGGCCTGAAAGGTCGGAGGGGCCTTAAGGGGCCGTACGGGGCCGTAAGTGGGGCCGTAAACGGGGCCTTACGGGGCCGTAAACGGGGCCTGACGGGGCCTTACGGGGCCTTAAGGGTAGGCGCGACGCGCGCGGCAGGAAGGTGAGGAAAAAAAAAGTTGAAGACGTGGTGGGCCCTTAGGATCGAAAGTTGCTCTATACCATGTGAAAATCTTAGGCGAGAGATGATTTCACTATAGAAAGTTGAGTACAAATAGGGTAGGAAAGGTGGGTACACCACCAAGCAGGAAGTTAGGATAACTACACTAAGGCTAGAACTACATGCAGTTATAATATAATTCTGACAGCCCTGTGCACATGTCCAGGTAAGTCACAGGCTAGGTGAGGCAAGCTCGGTCAGTAACGGCAAGACCATTCACGGGCTGGGTCAGTCACCGCATAGATTGGTCACACGCTGCGGTGGGCCACTGGGTAGGTTGGCTAGAGCCCGGATAAGTAACAGCGTGGGTGTATCAACGATGGCGAGGAAAAGCAGCACTAGAAGGGCCCGAGACAACAACGCTGAGTGGGACAAGACTGCGTCAAGGGGCTCTGCTAGTTCATAGGTTGTCCAGACCTCGTAGCGACTCGGTATGTAACCTAAAGTTGCACATTCCCCCCACCCCCCCCCCCCCCCCCCCCCTGCAATGCAGAGGGCTGACTGGGAAAACTAAAAGTGGAGCTTACCTCTTTTAGGATTTCTTAGACTATCGCACTTCTGCGGCCCTTGAAATGACTTAGCAGCGGCGCGGTAATTAGATCTCTAGTGCGTGCTGCATGATGGTGAGGCTTGGCGATTCGAGAGTACTCAAGGAAGGTAGGCAAAGAGATCGCGGCCCGGGAAAAACCGAGGGGAAACGATGCGCGGAAGATTGTACGGATGACACTGAAGGAACGGCGCCGCCGTTGGTACTACGCGCAATTTTTTTCATCGAGGTGGTATGAGTAGCATTTCTTTTCACTACGCGCTTTTAGTCACCATCGTAATATTCCTCTACTATGTGTCCCCACACACTGGTGAGCACAAGATTGTTCGTTAGTTTGAGGTGTACAGTACTTTTGCTGCTCCTCCAACACCTTCACACCGTCCCACAAACCATCGCCAGTTTCCTCCTTGGTGTTGCCTTGCTTCATCAAAATGATAATTCGCGAGACTCGTGCACCAGTCGCGAACTTTCGTCTTATTGCGAAACGAAACTGTCCTGCCATCGCCACTTCCTTCCACCAAACACCCCAAGCGAGAAAATTCTCGTGGTAGCATTTGTCAGCCATGTTTCGTGTCTTGCACCAATGCATTCCTCGATGGCGTTGTTCTGAGATAGACCGTCTGTGCCGTACATAACGTGTAAAATGGTAAACCACGCAACGTTCTGGACAACTGATTGCCGTAGTAGTAAGCGTCATGCGTCAGTCGCGTTTTGCGAAATTGTCCAATTCATGCCAGTTAAGGTTTCTGCAGCTGCGGGCTTCCTTTTTCATTCAAGTCCTAACTTATTTTCCATTGTAGCGTCGATTTCGGTCATGGAATCTACCGTATTGTTCATTATCTGACTTGCGGGAATCTTGCGGATGCCCAAGAAGAAGAATAGTCGGTCGCGCTGTGGCCTCCGAGAGAATGACAATCTATAATGCCTTCACAATCTATGGAATTTTCGCCGTCATATCGGGCCTGTCCTCGCGGACCGCTGTGACGGCATGGTCAGGTACGCATTCGAAGCCATGGCAAAGGTACGCGCTGCAAAGCATTGTCACGTACGCGTCAAGGGATGGCGAGGTGCGCGTTATACGGCATGACGAGGTACGCGTTATAAGGCGTGCTGACACGTTTCGAGGCACTACTGTTAATGGTAAACTTCGCGCGTTTCAAGGCATGGTGAGATATCAACCCAAAACAAGTTAGCATAGGATCAGCTGATAGAATCAGAAGCACTCAAAGAAAACAATGCGATTTCTGTTTGCAACAGCTTCAGCTACCACCGAGGGTTTCCATGCCAATCACACTCCCTCTCCCTTTCTTCGCAGCCCCACTTCCCCCACACTCCCCCCTCCCCCTCATCCTCCTCCTTCCCCGCTGCAGTCACAGAGAAACACTCAGCATCAATGGGGCACCACGCATCAAGCATGGGTCACCACCATCATTATCACACAACCAGCCCACACAGCAATTCTTTCAGCCAAGCTCCGTCTCAATACAGTCACATCCAGTACACTCCCAACCACGGATACAGTCACGATGAACGTGACATGCTGCGTCGGGTTGAGTCGGTGCGGCAGCAGCGTGAGGGGGACAGCCAGCCCCCGCCGCTCTTCACTGCTGTGGCTGCCGCTGCTGCGTCAGGCGAATCCTTTGTCCTCGACGTCCCTCTCAGACGGACAACTGCTGCTGCTGCTGCTACAAATGCAGAAGCTGCTACAGCTGGTTACACACCTGCTGCTGCTGCTACAACCGGAGCAGCCAGACTGCAAGCCCAGGGGAGGAGGAGGAGGCAGCGAACGGTGATCATCGGGCCAGTCTCCCTGCAACGGGCCGCTGTAACCGCAGGGTACCAGCTGTCTCAGAAGCGCCCAAAAGGCCCCTGCAGCATGTGGTTCAAGAGAGTCTTCATAGTCAGAGTCAAGTCTGCTGCTGATTTCGCCGCCAGGGCCTCTCTCCCGCGCACCGCCACCGTTATTCTGCATTTACAGAAAGATTTGATGCTGCCTAAAGGGGTTATTTTCGGGCGGCAGCAGTCGTGCACGATACTCATGTCAGCGAAATGGCCCGGTTACACGCTGACGGGTGGTAACCCTATGTATCCGGTGCTGCGCGTGTGGAACACGAGTAACTTCATGTCGCTGAACGTGAACTATCGCCTGCCGGTGACGGAGAGTAGCCCCGAGTGCACCATCGTGCCAGAGCTGGGCAAAGGCGTGACCTGCCCCGCCATCTCCATCCATCGGTCCTTCGGCGTGCAGATTGGCAAGGTCAGTCCCTCCCTTTTACCTGCTTTTCACTCTCCCTTGTCTTTCGCTGTAGAGAGCATTCCAGAGTGCACCACCCCGAACTTTGAATGCTTGCGTGCGGTGAGTTGAGTGTCGCTGAACATGAAATATCACGTGCCGGTGACAGAGAGCACCACTAACTGGGCAAGGAGTGGCAGAGCTGGGCAAGGGAGTGGCAGAGCTGGGCAAGGGAGTGGCAGAGCTGGGCAAGGGAGTGGCAGAGCTGGGCAAGGGAGTGGCAGAGCTGGGCAAGGGAGTGGCAGAGCTGGGCAAGGAGTGGCAGAGCTGGGCAAGGGAGTGGCAGAGCTGGGCAAGGAGTGGCAGAGCTGGGCAAGGGAGTGGCAGAGCTGGGCAAGGAGTGGCAGAGCTGGGCAAGGGAGTGGCAGAGCTGTTCAAGGGAGTGGCAGAGCTGGGCAAGGAGTGGCAGAGCCGGGCAAGGAGTGGCAGAGCTGGGCAAGGAGTGGCAGAGCTGGGCAAGGGAGTGGCAGAGCTGGGCAAGGAGTGGCAGAGCTGGGCAAGGGAGTGGCAGAGCTGGGCAAGGGAGTGGCAGAGCTGGGCAAGGGAGTGGCAGAGCTGGGCAAGGGAGTGGCAGAGCTGGGCAAGGAGTGGCAGAGCTGGGCAAGGAGTGGCAGAGCAGGGCAAGGGAGTGGCAGAGCTGGGCAAGGGAGTGGCAGAGCTGGGCAAGGAGTGGCAGAGCTGGGCAAGGGAGTGGCAGAGCTGGGCAAGGAGTGGCAGAGCTGGGCAACGGAGTGGCAGAGCTGGACAAGGAGTGGCAGAGCTGGGCAAGGGAGTGGCAGAGCTGGACAAGGAGTGGCAGAGCTGGGCAAGGAGTGGCAGAGATGGGCAAGGAGTGGCGTGCCCCGCGACGCAGTCTTGATCCATCGATCATACGGCGTGCAGATTGACAAGGTGAGTCCCTCCATTCCATCTGCTTGTTGCGCTCCTTTCGCATGTCACGCTCCTTTCGCAAGTTCTCTTGTCTGGATTCTTCCGGTGGACGTGGTGGTGAGATGATGGAGCAGCATAAACTCGTCTCATCCCACACCCACACCCACATGTCTTCCAGCTCCTCATCTTTCCACGTGCCTCCACTCTCATCCCCATTCCCTCTCCTTCTCTTCCCCTCACAGCACCGTCTTTGGCCCAGTGGGCGTGCAATGGAGCATGGCCATGCCGCGTGGGGCTGGACTCACTAACGCTCACTGGAGTGGTTTCTCTCTCTCTCTCTCAACCCACACGTCGTCTCAAGCTCCCGCGTGCCTCCAAGCTACCCCCTATCCCGTCTACCTCTCTCCCCCCCAGGGCAACATCTTTGGGCGAGTGGACGTGCTACGCAGCATGGACGTGCGCCTGGACTCACTCTCGGTCACCGGAGTGGCTTCCTTTATCAAGTCGCCTGGGGTGATCCGAGTGGCCCTGTGTGGGTACGGGCCGGGACTTCTCAAATCCAACATTGTCATCTCCAACAATGAGGTGTACGGTGAGTGAGTGGGATGCTTCCCAGAGTCAACGGGAGTCAACCAGAGTCAATGAGATTGAAGGTCAGTGAATGGTTCTCACTGTCCCCCCTGCCCCCTTAACCTCTCTCTCCCCATTGCCCCCTTATCCTCACTCTCCCCCTGCCCTCCTGCCCCATGGTCTTGCACAGAGGAGCAGTGGGCACAGCAATAACAAACAACAACATCCATGGCTATATCTTCTCATCACCATGCTCTTTCCCGCTTTTTCCCTTAACCCACTCCCCCCTCTTTCCTTGCCTGCAGGGGTGAACACCCCCGTTGTGCTGCACAGGGGAGCTGAGGGCATAGCAGTCACCAGCATCTACATTCATGACCATTGTTTTTGTGGGAAGTCGGCGTGCATGACAGCAACGAATGCATGCTTACTCGCATCAACTCCAATTGATCTCGTCATTTCCCCTCCGCACCCCTCCCCTCCCCCCTCTCCTTCTTATGCCAAATCCCCCCATTTGCCCCCTCTTCTCGTTTCGCCCTCTTCCGCTCTCTTTCCGTTGCCTGCAGGGGTGAACACTCTGACTGTCTTACACAGGGGAGCGGCGGTGGGCATCACTATGACCAACAAGTACATGCACAACTACGTTATCGTTGGGATTCACTGCAGCGCTGCAGCGCCAATGTGCATTGCAGCGGTGACTGCATGCTCACTCGCATCAACTCCAGCCTTGTTTATTCTAACAACGGGGATCAAGTCTCGTCAAGGATTTACCACTGTCGTAGTGGCTGAACTCTCCTTTTCTGTACTCTTCCCCCCTTCTTTCCCTCGATTGCAGGGGTGAACACTCCGATCCTCTTGCACAGGGGAGCAGTTGGTGTAACCGTCAGGAACAACTACGTGCACGACTTCATATTCGCTGGAATCAAGTGCGGTGCCGACGTGCATTACAGCTTTGCGTGCATGCTCAGTCGCATCAACTCCAACCTTGTGGTTTCCTCTGGGAGGAACCTGAACGGGGATCACGACTCGGCTGGGATCTACTTCTACACGCACTGGTTTAGCCCGGGCAACTCGGCGCTGTGCAACTACGTGTTCAACGGCGATCACTGCTATTAGGCATGAGCATCCCGCCCCGGCGGGTCGGGTCAGGAGTTCTGAACCGCTGACCCGGCCGGGTCGGGTCGGGTCGACTCGTGACCCGATTCCGGGTCGGGTCGGGTCGGGTCGGGTTGGGTCGGGTCGGGTTTTGACCCGATATGAACCCGACCCGGTTTCGGGTACCGCGCCCTATGTCGGGTCGGGTATCTGGCCCGACCCGAGGGTTTCCTCTCGACAATGTTATCCAGATCGCAGTCGCGCATGCTTGTTTTCCCAGCGACTAGCATTTCGATCTGGATTAAGTTAAGTTACCTAGCTAGTGACGCCAGCAGCCACCCACCCAGCAACATTGGCGTACTAATCATCTACCCTATAACCTGCGATTTTGTTTAGTTAGTACTCAGCCAATCGTTTTCTTATAACGGAACGCTAACCCTCAGCCAACCTGCACAGTATTAAAGAGAACCTCTAACCCTGCCTATGGGAGTCGGCTCGACCCGACCCGACCTGGCCTGGGGGCGGGTCAAGCCTGACCCGGCACCCGATACCCGGGTCGGGCCAGAGATCTTTGATGTTCCGACCCGACCCGACCCGACCCGACCCGGAACCCGGCTGGCCCGCCCAAGTCGGGTCGGGTCGGGCCATTTGATCATGCCTAACTGCTATTATTTGGGCCATTGCTCGTCGAGCGTGCTTGTCAGGGGAGGCGCGTGCGTGAATACGTATGACGGCATGAAAGTGAATAACGGCAAGCGGTGAGGAGGGACTGTGGAGATCCCGTGCTGTGCAATTATATGTTCAGTTGCGCCCTTTAGGGCCCCCTTTTTGTTTGCCTCAGCAGTCCCCTTTGCACAACAGCTCCGGATGCCGTACTGCCCTGTATTGCTGTCCACCCCTTCCTCCCCCATCTTGACTGCAGGAACGTGATAAAGAACGTGGCGATGAAAGGCACGCGGGGATCGCTGGGGTGGACGTCGTGCTTCACAGTGACCGTCAACAACTGCCTCAAAGACCCCGGCAACTACTGGGAGGCCATGCGCGTGAAATACCACAACAGCGCCCGCATCAACCACGTGAGTGAGAGCAGAGCAGGAAGTGAGCAAATAGCACATGCCATAGCTTCGCATCCAACATGTGAGACGCCTCAAAAGTACTGAAAGGGACTACTGGGATGCAATGCAAGTGAAATACTACACAGCACCCATATCAACCGAGTACGTGAAGAGAGCTGTTACTACTGGGAGGCATCCCTGTGAATATCTGTGCCAGTGGCTGTGCATATGGTGCCCCTGTGGTGGCGTTAAGCCTTGTTCCTCACACACAGCAACCGTATCAACTGGGTGTGTGAGAGTAAAGGAGCAGATGTTCAGCAGTGAGAGAGTGTGAAGTCACATGTGGTCAAACTTACCAAGTGATCACTGCTCCTCCACCCCTTGACCCCCCCTCCATATCATGTGTGCAATAAAAGCTAATGTGTTCTTTTCCTTACCTCCCCCTTCGTCTCGCTTCTCTCCTCTCCTCTCTCCCCTCCCTCTCTCCCATCTCTCCCATCTCCTCTCTCTTTTCCCCCCCTCGTTATTGTCACATCCAGCTATGGCCTTGGATGAAGGACGTCTGCAAGGAAACATCGGCCAATGGCGGCGTGTCATGTAACCCGCCAGGTCAGCCAGGTGCTGACGTCACGGGAGCATGCAGCGGGCTGGGAAGCGACAATCTCATCGACGTTGTCGCCGTCAACACCACCAACTATGGCCTCGACTGGAAGCACTGCGAGAATTTCACCGTTACGGAAAAGTTGAATCGGGAGATCAACATTTCGCTGAGTCAGCCTCTTGCTGCGGGCTTTCGGGACTACATAGGGAATGATTTGGGGCTGGAAAATACATCTGCAAATTTAAAGTTGCGGCCGGATTATTTGAGCTGCCCGTTGGGGCTCGCAGGACCAAGAAAGTTTTCGGAGAAGTCTTTTTATGAGGGTTACAACATCCCAATGCCAAGGGGGTTTCGGAAGGTTGTTACGATGGACATTAAGCATATTATAAATCAGGACTTGATTATCCCCTCGGTTAGAGCTCAGATGATGGCAGCTGGTGATGGGGAGTATTCATGGCTTGCCTCATCTAGAGGCTTATCAACTAAAATCTAACACGGTCACGCTTTTCAAGTTACGAACGCTATTCCATCTTATTCCGAACAAATATTCCAATGTCAGGTGACGCCCTCTCTGCTTTCACACGTGGCCTATTCGGGCGTGCAACATCGCCCACACACAAGCGACGCCGCGAACCTGCCTTTACACTTGCCCCCTCTCCCTCCCCTCCTCCCCCTCGCCTTACACCCATCCCCTTCCCTTACCCCATTCCCTTTCCGTTACCTTCTCCCCTTCCCTTTATCCCCTACCTTTCCACTAATCCACCCCCCCTTCCCTTACCCCCTCCATGAACCGCATCCCCTTCCGTTTTCCCTTTCTCTTTTTCCCACCCCTCCCTTCACCCAAGTCTCCTTACCCCAATTTCCTACTATGGCACCAGGCTCTGCCACGACCCGTCCCGCAGCTCACTCCTGGCGAATTCAATCCTCGCGGGCTGATTGGAATGGCTGAGCTTGTAAGGAGTGCGGTGCGTAGTACTGCAGGCATCACTGCTCCAGCCGGACGATGACCGCGCCTCGCCTTGCACCCGCCGTTGCACCACCGCCAGTTGCGCCGCTGCTGGAGACGTAACGATTGCCCCCTCAGCTGTGCTCCTGCGTCTCTTGCACCCCCACTTGTTGCCTGCCTGCGTGCCACGTGCCCCTTGCCTGGAAGAACCTTCACGATTCCGGGTCGTCCTTATGATCGCTCACGTGACGCCCGCCTGCCTGAGCCCTCCTGCTACCCTTCCCACCATGCCATTTCTCCCTTTTCTCGTTTCCTGCTCCCTCCGTCTTCCACCCCCCGTCAACCTCCCCCCCTCTCCCCCACTCCACACATGTCACTCCGCCGCTAACTTCTTCCTGCCCCACTGCACTCACTCCCGCCACTTCCCTTACGCTTTTGGCCCTTACGGCCCGGCCACACTGCTCTTGCAGCACCACACTCTCCCCTTCCCTTCCTATCCCCCTCCCTCCCCTTCCCCCCACCCCTCACCCCCAGCACAGATGCTTACCCCCAGGCAGCGGGTGCACTGACTACTAAGGCATTATCACCTCCCTTTGACATGCCCTCCCTCTCCGCTATGTTGCCAGCGCACTGTTTACAGGACGAAACAGCTATACCCTGTGCCCTTGGGGCAACCTGCGGGTCACAAGCATGTCAGTCTCAGGTCAGTTTCAGGTCAGTTTCAGGTCAGTTTTCAGGTGAATTTCAAGGGGGTTTCAGGTAAGTCCCAGGTGAGTCTCGAACGAGTCTCTGGACTCACTCGCGCCACTTCTGTTACGCTCTGCAGCAGCATGTGCCCTCGGGTTAAGCTACTGGTCACAAGCAGGTCAGTTGCAGGTCAGTCTCAAGTGAATTTCAAGTGAGTCTCAGGTCAGTCTCATGTCAATCTCAGGTGGGGTTGAGAACGTACCAAAATTGAGTCCAACCGGTCCACTAGTCGAAGAGAACTAGTTTGATCAAGTCGAGCCAACACCGAGGTTCATAACCGAACCCGTTCGGCAGCAGCATCTCCCGTGGATCTCAGCGAAATCTGCAATGTTCATGCACTTGGTGTCCCGGTTTCCATGTCAAACCTCTCTGTTGTGTTTGTCGCGGCTCAGCACCTTAAGTTAAACCAACCAAACGGGTTGGCCCACATTGGCCACCTCACTCACCATACGGACCACCTTACTGCAGGCTGCAGCTACCTAACCAGCATCTCCTGTTCACACAACTCTGCTGCACACATTCTCCTGCAGCCATTCTCACAACAGCTATCCCTTTCCCTTCATCTGTGCACATATCCTGGCTGTATGCCCGTCAAATTAAGATTCAAATTCAATTCTCCTAACCATAACTAAATCCCAAGCAAGCACCATATAGCAAATCTGTATTGTCATACATAATTCGGTATAAGGATCAACAACCGTCAATTACAGAATAGGTCACTCACAGACTAGGTCCGACACAAGCTAGGTCAGTGGGGGGCTAGGCCTGTCACACGCAAGATCAGTCAGAGGCAAAGTTCGTCACTTAGAGACGGCCCAATCCAACAGCTCGGTCAGATAGCGACTGTGATAGAGAGAGGTTAGGTTGGTCACAGGCCAAGTAAAAGGGTAGATCAGGCACAGAAAAGGTCATTCAGAGGCTACCCAAAGTCACAAGGTAGGTCAGTCACTGGTTAGGTCAAGCACAAGCAAGGTCAAACAGAGGCCAGGTCACTCGCAGGCTAGGTCAATAGCAAGGTAGGTCAATCATAAGTTCGGTCAGTCAGAGTTCCCATCCATCAGAGGCTAGGCCAGTCAAAGGGTAGGTCAGTCAGTCACAGGCTAAGACTCTCACAGACTAGGTCAAGCACAAGGTAGGCTTGACACAAGTAAGATTTGTGATAGGGTGCGATAGCCACAGGTGGGTCAATTACAGCTAGGACAGACACAAGCAGGGTTAGCCGTAGGTTGGGTCACTCACAACAGCCTAGGTCGGTCCACGACAGGCCAGGTCAGCCTCACGCGAGGTTACATACAAACAACGAGTACGGTTTTGTCTCGACTCGGCCGACTCAGGCGATCACTCGACTCGACTTTTTGTCAGGTGATCATTCATCGAGTCGGCACTCGCCAATCTGGCGATTCTACACACCACGCCTGACTCATCTCTAGTCGACTAGGTTGTCACGGCCATTTCTCGCCCAACCCGCGTTCCTCTCACAACCCACGCACCGGTGCCCCCAGTGAATTACCTCTGTTGCCTTGTGTTGTCCTCCTCCTTTTCCTCTCTCCCGTCCTTCCTCTGTTTCCCGCTCTTTCCCATGCGTGCCTCCATTGATGTCCTTTGCGTCTTACCTGTTCCCCTCCCCTCATCCCTCCCTTGACCCATCCTTCTCACTCACACTCAGCTAATG